GGGAAACGCCTGGGATGGAACAGAATTCGAATCAATAATTGATGAATTGATTGAGAAAACTGACAGGAACAGGGAACAGCTAGATAAAATTCAGGCAACCCTGGATTCACTAGAGAGCGATCATAATTCCCTTAAGAATAAAATAGTAGGTCCACTAAAGTATGAATTCGAAGCTTTTAAAACCGACACAATTAAAACAGTTGTAAAGATATACAAGAATCTAAATGAAATGTAATATTTTATTTGCTGTAGGATGTACATAGTTATAGTAAGCAGCTGGGTGGGTAGAGGGAATGCTGCTTCATAAATTAGATTTAAATGGTACGTAAAATAGCCATAAAAATTTTTACATATATAATATAGAGAAAGATGGAAAAACTATTCAGAAACCAGAAGTTGAATGTTAGTGTGAGAACTGTTAAGAGCGGTGAGGACGTACTATTCTACGCAAAAGACGTGGCAGAATCTCTGGGGTACTTGAAACCACGGAAGGCCGTCAGGGATCACGTATGGGGACTGAATAAGGTACTACTGGGAAAAGCCAAAGGGGGGAACGTTTTGTTCCCCCTGGAAAATCCGAGGGTACCCAATACGTTCACCCTGGAAAATCCGAGGGTACCCAATACGTTCACCCTGGAAAATCAAAGGGTACCCAGTTTGGGTACCCTTGGAAATTGCCACCCACACACAGTCCTCCTAAGAGAACCAGGGGTATACCAACTAATATTCAACTCAAGACTCCCAATAGCCGAGGACTTCCAGGACTGGGTATTCAGGGAAGTCCTCCCATCTATACGAAAAACTGGCACATACAGTTTACCAGACAGAAGATCACTTAGGTATAACCAAATGATCCTATTAAATGAAACAGACCTCCACCACACAGTTGTGAGTTACATCAGGGACAACTACCCAGAGGCTATAATAATACCTGGCCTAGGTGAGTATCAGGACACATCATTTAAGAGATGTGATGCCTGGAAGAAGGGATACAAAGGTGGTCAGCCAGATATTATTATAGAGAATCCTATGGGGAAGTATAAAGGATTTGCCATCGAATTTAAGTCTCCCAAGGGCACTGGGACTGTAAGTGAGAAGCAAGTGTTATGGTTCCACAAGCTTATGAAGATAGGTTACATGGTGATGGTGTCAGATGACCTTGTAAAAACTTGCATTAGAATCAACGAATACTTTTCACTTAAGAAGGTCGCAAAGAAGGTCACAGTGAACAACACAAAGTGCGCTGTAAGGTTGTACAGACCTAGGTTCAGTTCAGGTAAGTACTAGCTGCGCTAGCAGCGACCAGTAACATAGTTACTGCTAGTCAGGTCATCTCACCAGTAGATTTGAGATACCTCACCAGTTATCTCACAAGTAGATTTAAGTTATCTCACCAGTAGATTTGAGTTATCTCACCAGTTATCTCACCAGTAGATTTAAGTTATCTCACCAGTAGATTTGAGACATCTCACAAGTAAATTCAAGTTATCTCACAAGTAGAATTTAAGATATCTCATAAGACGGAACCCAGTTAAACCTAAGGTATCTTACAAGTAGAATGGAAGATAAACCTGAGCAAACCCAAGTAGTGACAAGTGAAAAGAAGAAGGACCCAAAAAGAGTAGCTGCAGGAAAACGGTTGGCTGCAATCAGTAGAATAGCAAAGGAGAGGAAAAAGAAACTTGCAGAACCTGAGGAGTCATCAAGCAACAACATGATCGCATACATAGGAGTGGTCATCGCATTGGTATCTCTTATCCTAGCATTTAATCAGCATCAGAGGGAAACAGAGAAACCAGAACCTAAGTACATACCTGAAACTGTAGAAGTAACCAGGAAAGCTGATGCGTCTAAGTTAGATTCACTTGAATGATACGTTAAACACAATATATATTATAGCAAGATGAGTAAAGAATCAAAGATGACCGCGGAAGTGTACAACGCAGTGTTACTTACAGCAGGAGCAGTTGGTATATCAATGGCATCAAGGAAACTATTGAAAGAATCGTTAGGCACCCCAGAAAATGTAAAAGGAATGGCGAAGTTAGCTGTTTCAGTTAGTCTTTCATCCCTACTGGTCTATTACTTGAAAGAAAAGAAGTATCTACCAGATGACCCATTCAAAACCTAGGTAAGACTATACAATGGCGGGAGCAGTAGCAGGAGGACTCTTTAACGCATTTGCATTTGCTGGAGCAGGATTCTTATTTAAAACGTTTGACAAGAACGGGTACGCTAAGGAAGCCCATAGACACAACATTGCAATGGAGAACCTAACAGCTGAAAGAGAGAAGTACCTTGAAGAAGTCACTGATAGAAGAAACAGAATTGCTCAACTAAAGTCAGAACTAGGTGAGGCAAATAGGGATATTAATTCAACTAATAAGTCACTGGAACTCGTTAGAAGAATCAATGAGTTAACACGTAAGGCTATGCCAAGAAAGCCACAATTAAGTAATCACTACAAACCTAGCTCAGAGATGGCAGAATATATGGCAATATTTGGTTTAATTACAGGTGGGGTGGTTGGAGGGGTGGCTTACCTAATGATATAATACTGTAAATAATATGGTAAAAATTTTTTACATATATAGTATAGAGGAATGGAATGGTTAGAGATGGTAACACCTGATGAAATGGCACGGGTAGGTAGGAAGGCAAATACACTGGAAGAGTTAGAGGCTACCGTGAGAAAGTACGTGGAGAGTAGAATAAAAACAAAACATACATATGATCCAGTATGTAGTGAATGTGGTAGTAAGTCTATTGTAATAATAGATGGAGCAGATGTATGCACACAATGTGGTACAAGTGATAGGAATGGCTTTACATACTATGTTAGTTACAACCACAACAAGGACGACTACCTGAAAAAGAAGTCTTGTCATAACAGAGTCCGTTGGTTTGAGAGACACTTATTAGAGCATGTTGCTTCAGGGGATAGGGATACCATACGGGAGCAGTTTAGAAGCATCGTAAGATGTATACAAAGACTTAGACTGCAACGGGGGCGCAACATAGTTAGATATAAGTTTTACCTACTGAGGATAGCCAGCATGAACAACATCACGTTAAGAAACCCTCCTGAGGACATTAAGACCAAAAGAATTGTGGACATCCTTGAGAATAGGTTATATAGTAAAGTCTTCCCCGAGTTGGGATGGAAACCTATAAATTGTGAATATTATAATAACTGGAAATTAAAGAATAAATTATAAATTAAATTAAATATTAAATTAAAGAATAAATTATAAATTAAATAAAATATTAAATTAAAGAATAAATTATAAATTAAATAAAATACAAAATTATTAAATTAAATGTTAAATAAATTAATGAATTAAATAGCCCCTTAATTGGGGCTATTTTTTTTACCTATAGTATATAGAGAAAGAGTGAAAAATGGCGAACAACTTTGACATGAACGATATGACCGTTGAACAACTTATGGCACTTAGTGAGATAATCGACGATAGTGACTATGAGGGAAATCTTGAGGATGAAGTGAATAAGATCTCCGAGGACAAGTTCTACCGTGTCGCACCTAAGGACAAGGCAGAGAACATCTTCGCGGAAGAGAAACTATTCATTGATGAAGGCGATAGAGCTACGGATCCTAAGAGGCCAAGAAGACTCCCACTGAACTACAAGGGTAAGAGAGGAATAATGCCAACATGGAAATATTCCGAGAGGCAGAAGGCAAAGGCTTTACTAGTTGAGGAAGCGTATCAGAGCCTACTAAGTAGAGGAGTTGAAGGTCTACCACCAACAATGGGAGGTGGATGGAGAACGGACGATCCTCAGGTAAACGCGGAGATGAAGAGGCTCGAAAACCTTAGAAATCCCAAGCGTCCTAGAGGTAGACCACCAAAGGTCAAGGTTGATGGTGAAGTAACCCCCAAAAGGAGAGGTAGACCACCAAAGGCCAAAGAAGTTAAGGTTGCCAAAAGGAGAGGTAGACCACCAAAGGCTAAGGCGGCCGAAACTCAAGAAGCTAAGGTTCCCAAGAGAAGAGGTAGACCACCTAAGGCCAGAAGACAGACTGTCGCGGAAAGGTTCGTGAGCCAGGGCCGGATAAAACTCTCGGTTCCTACGAACAGTGTCATAACACAGGTGGGACCAAATAAGTTCACGGTGACAGTGGATCTCAGTAAAAAACCTACAAGGAAATCTCCTGAGGTACCAAAAGGTGTAACTCCATGGAAACCTGTTCCCAAGCCTAGAACTGTTCTTCCTAAGGAAAGACCTGTTCCTAAACCTAGAATTAAAATTCCTAAGGAAAGACCTGTTCCTAAGCCAAGGACTAAAAAACCAGTGCCTCCTCCAAAGTTACGAAAGCCTGCAAGGGTGACTAGGGAAGTTGCGGAGCAGCCTGCGGTGGTTACACCTGAGGAACATGAAATCGATCCATTCGGAACGTACCTCGATAAGCCATCCTACAGGAAAATAGAAACTGCCGCAAATGGAGCAGCTGTGACCTACTCAATAACTCCAAACTATATGGACCCACTGGACCAGATGACAGCAAGTAGGCAGGTGGTGAGGGGAATACTAGTGAACGAGTTAAAGAGAATGGGTGGTCTAAAATATACAGAAACAATCAAGGTGAGAATGTCGAAGGAAATCGGTAATGACAAAACAAAGAAGGATTCAATATACTTCAAGTCGAAAACTGGAACCGCGACCAACTTTGAGGATATCGAAAGCACTGCGGCACAAAACCAACTGACAATCCTATCCAGAATCGAAACATTCCAAAACCTAGGTTCAAATTGGATTATACTAAATATTGAAAGCCACTACGTTAACATTGCAATGTATAAACCTCTAAAGGGTAGTTCATATATGAAATTACCCGCAGACATTAGTAATCCAAAATGTGGTCTCATTAATATGAAAAATGAAGATAACAAATGTTTTATGTGGAGTCATGTGAGACATGTGAGACCAAAGGTCAGGAGAGCAACTACTATAACACGACAGGATGTTAAGTTCTCGGAGAACCTGGACTACGAAGGAATAGACTTCCCTGTGAAGATAAGCGATATTAACAAAATCGAGAGAAGAAACTGTATAAGCATATCAGTGTTCGGCTATAAGGGTAAAAAGCAGTTCTATCCAATACGAAACTCTAAGACAAAATACGACGAGCATATGGAGCTGCTACTCTTAGGTGACGGTAATGGAAACAACCACTATGTCCTAATAAAGGACATTAATAGAATGCTGTATAGCGTAAGCGGATACGAACACAAGAAGCACTTCTGCCTGTACTGTCTACACAGCTGTAAGAGTGAAGAGCTGCTGAGGAAACATAAGGAGACATGTCTCGAGGTAAATGGAACTCAGGCCACAAAGCTTCCCAAGGAAGGTACGAAAATAAAGTTCAAAAATCATAGGAACTCAATGCCTGCACCATTTGTAATATATGCCGACTTTGAGTCTATACTGGTTCCTGAAGAGAGGAAAGTTGATCCTGAGGGCCCCGAGGAGAAGAGTACTACGGACCTCTACCAGACCCACAAGGCTTGTAGTTTTGGGCTTAAAACTGTGTGCCATTACGATGATCAGTACTCCGGTGAATACATAAGTTACGTTGGTGAGGACGCCACGAATGTCTTCCTGAAGACAGTATTGAAGGAGTCTATTAGGTGCCGGGAAATGGTGAACAAAATATTCAAGAAAAAGATGGTAATTACACCAGAGCAAGAAGCTGAGTTCTGGATGACAAGAAACTGCTCCATATGTGGTAATGACTTAGGTGATGATAGAGTGAGAGATCACGATCATGTAACTGGAATGTATCGTGGAGCTGCCCATAATATGTGTAATCTGAAGTATAGAATCACATGGAAAGTTCCGGTGGTTTTCCACAACCTAAGAGGTTACGATAGCCATCTGATAATGCAGGAGATTGGAAAGTTCAAGATGAACATTAACGTTGTCCCAAATAATATGGAAAAATATATTTCCTTCTCACTAGGTAAAAGTCTTGTGTTCATTGACTCAATACAGTTCATGGCTTCTTCTTTGGAAGCACTTGTGAGTAACCTTTCACCTGAAGACTTCAGGATAGTTGGTAAGAGGTGGACTGGTGAGGACTTCAAACTTGTGACACAAAAAGGTATATTTCCATATGAATATTTGGATGACATTAGTAAACTTAATGTTGAGGGTCTTCCAAGCAGAGACAAATTCTACTCATCTCTATATGAGTCGGAGGTGAAAGAAGAAGATTACCAAAGAGCGCTAAAAGTATGGGATCACTTTAAGATGAAAACCATGAGAGACTACCACGATCTCTACCTGGAGACTGACGTTCTTCTTCTAGCAGATGTCTTCGAAAACTTCAGGAGAACTTGCTTGGAAAATTACAAGCTTGACCCTGCACACTACATATCAGCACCTAGTCTAAGTTGGGACGCCTTCCTGAAACAGTCAGGTGAGGAGATAGAACTGGTAAGTGATATGGACATGTTTCAGTTCTTCGAGAAGGGAATGAGAGGTGGCATAAGTCATATTGCTCACAGACAGGCTACAGCCAATAATAAGTATATGGAAACGTATAATGAAGATCTTGAAAACAAGTTCCTTATGTACCTCGATGCCAACAATTTATATGGTTGGGCGATGTCTCAGCCGCTGCCTAACGGTGAATTTGAGTGGGTCGAGAATTTCGACGCGGCAAACCTAGATGACTATCTTGGAGACAACGGAAGGGGTATGGTTCTAGAGGTTGACATGGAATACCCAAAGGAACTTCACAATCTACACAACGGTTATCCGCTAGCACCGGAGAGCAAGGAGATTGGTGCCTCAATGTTGTCAGACTACGCGAAGGATATTGCTGATAAATTCCAGCTGACAATTGGAGGAGTAAGAAAACTGGTGAACTCCTTAGGTCCCAGGAAAAACTACGTCTTACACGCCCGCAATCTGAAACTCTACACAGAACTCGGAATGAAACTTACGAAGGTCCATAGAGCCGTCTCATTCAAACAGTCCCCTTGGCTTAAAAACTATATCGACTTCAATACGAAGAAACGGTCAGTTGCACGTAATACTTTTGAAAAGAACTTCTTCAAATTAATGAACAACTCAATCTATGGAAAGACTATGGAAAATCTTAGGAAGAGAGTTGACGTGAAATTGGTGTCATCGGAAAATGACCTCCTAAAACTTACAGCGTCGCCGTGCTTCCAGTCGCATAGAATTATGAATGAGAACTTAATAGTTGTAAAGCGAACGAAGGAAGTTCTAACTCTAAACAAACCGTGCTACGTTGGAATGAGCATCTTAGACTTATCGAAGACTCTTATGTATGACTTCCATTACAATACAATTAAGAAGGAGTACGGTGACAGGTCAAAGCTACTATTCACAGATACTGACAGTCTGATGTACGAAATAAAGACTGACGATGTGTATGAGGACTTCAGGAGGATCGGTGAGGAAAAAGACTGCTGGGACAACTCAGACTATCCGAAAGATTCCCCGTACTACTCGGCTCATAATAAGAAGGTGATTGGTAAGTTTAAGGATGAAGCCGGGGGAGTACCAGTGATTGAATTCGTTGGGTTGAGGTCGAAGATGTACTCCTACGTGAAGGAAAGTGGTGGAGGTGAAATGACCGCGAAAGGAGTGAAAAAGTATGTGATCAGAAACAAACTCACCCACGAAAACTTCAAGAACGTAATTAAGACGAGAGGTTTGATGAGACATAAGATGAACACAATCAGAAGCATCAAACATAAAATCGGAACTTACGAACTGAAGAAAATCACACTCAGCTGTTTTGATGATAAACGGTACTTACTTGAAGATGGTGTTACAAGTTACGCGTACGGACACCACTCAATAGAAAAATAAATTGTTAAATAATTCTGACAAATAATAGATAAAAAAATGAGGTAAAAAGACCACGGAAAATGGCCTAGAAAAAAATGGTCTAGAAAAATGAGCCCGCGTTTTTTGGGGAAAAATTTGGAAAACCGCTGACCGGAAGTGGGGTGGGATCGCGGGCTGAAAAAGTGGTCTAGAACCGCTACTTCCTATACTACTCGCATGTACCCGTGATTGTCTCAAAACTAGTGCTTGTCTTAACGAATATCTTATTATTATTTAATAAATGTACAGTCTGAGTAAAATCACTACATGTTACACCATGTTACACCACATGTTACAGTACATGTTACACTAAAAGTTCTATATTTTATTATATATCCTCACATGTTACAACATGTTACACCTACCTTTAAAAATATCTATAGTTCCTTTTAAAAATATAGGTGTAACATGTAGTAACATGTCAAGAACTATAGTAAAGTATAGTAATTTTAGTGTAACATGTAGTGTAACATGATGTAACATGATGTAACATGTGAAGATTGAGATTTGTTCTAACCTATAATCGTTGAAAATGTGCATAGAGAACTGAAAACCTTAAAAATAAATTAATCCTAACATAATTTAAGACACAACCAACCGATAAACGAGCAGAAATATCTCTTAGTTTATTTAATCCAAAAGAACTCAAGAAATCAAGCAGTTATGTGTATTTTATGAAATTAAATTCGCTTATTTTCCGGAGCAAATACTAAGTAAAACATTTTGAAAAGGGTGTTAAACCTAGAGGATTCTAAGTTGAAGCTAATATTAAATTTACTATACATTCAAAAGTATAAAAACATTTATAATCGTGTCCAAATTCAACGAAATTGCAAGGATAACCCGAGCTGTGGGCGGTAATATACGCCTATTTCCTATAATCGTACCATGGGAAGTCTCCCCCCCCGGAAAATTGTTTTGGGAGTCTGTTTCTACTGACATATGTGCCACTTGACTTTCATAACAACATAATAGAATAGCAAATTTTACATGTCCAAAAAATTTAATTTCTATCCCTTAAAGGTTAAGGGTTTGGCTTAATTCAGAGACAAAAAATACAACGGATAATCATTTTACCAAGTTAATTGTTCAGTCGTTTTCAAAACATAATTTTCAAATTAAAAAGGACTCTATATTAGGAACATAATTCAGGGTTTGATTAAACTTTTTGAAAGCCAGGGGGGTCGGTAGACGGGGGGCGGCTTAATGTAGGTGCCCATGTTTTAAGGAAAATTGTGATTAATTTATCCAATAAGGCTGCATTGACAAAAAATGTGGCAGTTAATAACAAAAAACTATCAGAGGGACAGATATGGCATATATAGATTATTACATTGTACAATATTTCATGACCGTCACATTTTTTCACATATTTTGTATATCATTAAAATTTTATAGTGCGAAATTGTACCTATAAAGTATGTTTTAATACGGTTTCAATATGCTTTTATAACGCATGTACCCGTAATTGTCTCAAAATTAGTGCTTGTCTTAACGAATATCTTATTATTATTTAATAAATGTATAGTCTGAGTAAAATCACTACATGTTACACCATGTTACACCACATGTTACAGTACATGTTACACTAAAAGTTCTATATTTTATTATATATCCTCACATGTTACAACATGTTACACCTACCTTTAAAAATATCTATAGTTCCTTTTAAAAATATAGGTGTAACATGTAGTAACATGTCAAAATCTATAGTAAAGTATAGTAATTTTAGTGTAACATGTAGTGTAACATGATGTAACATGATGTAACATGTGAAGATTGAGATTTGTTCTAATCTATAATCGTTGAAAAGGTGCATGGAGAACTGAAAACCTTAAAAATAAATTAATCCTAACATAATTTAAGACACAACCAACCGATAAACGAGCAGAAATATCTCTTAGTTTATTTAATCCAAAAGAACTCAAGAAATCAAGCAGTTATGTGTATTTTATGAAATTAAATTCGCTTATTTTCGATCCGGAGCAAATACTAAGTAAAACATTTTTAAAAGGGTGTTAAACCTAGAGGATTCTAAGTTGAAGCTAATATTAAATTTACTATACATTCAAAAGTATAAAAACATTTATAATCGTGTCCAAATTCAACGAAATTGCAAGGATAACCCGAGCTGTGGGCGGGAATATACGCCTATTTCCTATAATCGTACCATGGGAAGTCTCCCCCCCCCCGAAAATTGTTTTGGGAGTCTGTTTCTACTGACATATGTGCCCCTTGACTTTCATAACAACATAATAGAATAGAAAATTTTATATGTCCAAAAAATTTAATTTCTATCCCTTAAAGGTTAAGGGTTTGGCTTAATTCAGAGACTGTCTGAAAAAATACAACGGATAATCATTTTACCAAGTTAATTGTTCAGTCGTTTTCAAAACATAATTTTCAAATTAAAAAGGACTCTATATTAGGAACATAATTCAGGGTTCGATTAAACTTTTTGAAAGCCAGGGTGGTCGGTAGACGGGGGGGGGGCTTAATGTAGGTGCCCATGTTTTAAGGAAAATTGTGATTAATTTATCCAATAAGGCTGCATTGACAAAAAATATGGCAGTTAATGACAAAAAAACTATTAGAGGGACAGATATGGCATATATAGAATATTACATTGTACAATATTTCATGACCGTCACATTTTTTCACATATTTTGTCGATCATTAAAATTTTATAGTGCAAAATTGTACCTATAAAGTATGTTTTAATACGGTTTCAATATGCTTTTATAACGCATGTACCCGTGATGGTCTCAAAATTAGTGCTTGTCTTAACGAATATCTTATTATTATTTAATAAATGTACAGTCTGAGTAAAATCACTACATGTTACACCATGTTACACCACATGTTACAGTACATGTTACACTAAAAGTTCTATATTTTAT